TAGATAGATAGATAGATAGATAGATAGATAGATAGATAGATAGATAGATAGATAGTGTATCCTTTTCACCAGACGACCACGGGATATTTGTACTCATATAAATTCATACATGACACTATCATAACGTTGTTCTTTATTTGACTTTTTATACATGTTATATGTAACAAAATTATTTTATTAACAGGTTATTTTTTTTAACCCAACAAAACAATGACTAAGTTTATTGCATGCTTTGCATTGCCTGTTAAGTCTAAAATAAAATATTAAAAACTCTTTTTATCTGTCATTGTAATTTATCACCCCACCCCTTCCTGACCGAAAAAAGAAGTAGGTCTAGGTGTCAACGATTTATTAGTTTTTGTTCAGTCTACTGTATCTTTACGGAGATTTTTCTTTTCTATCATCTGCCTTTCTTTTGTTTTTGTCGTTTTCTTGATCGTCCTCGTTTCTCCCTTTGTTCCAGTGACTTAATACCTTCATGTTATTCTTTTTCTCTCCTTAACCCCCAACCCCACCTCTCCACTTCTCATCTCACCTATTTCCTGTCCTTTCTTCCCTTTCTGTTTCCTTTGTCCCTAAATAATTCAAAGGGCACTAGAAATCCGTTCCTGAGTGCCTAGCCCTAAATTTCCTTGAGCCCGAAATATTTTCCATCTCAAGCACCCTGTTCTTGATAAGAGATTAACCAAAAATAGCGACAAGGGGAACAATTGAGTAATATTTAGCATCTTTATCGCTCCAGTTGTTTCCCTTTAAACGCACGAGGTCATTTCTTCTACTGTAAGCTTGCCATTGGTGTGCCCTCAGATTAATCACACATACATTTTGGTGACATCCACGGTGCTACCTGATTGTTGGGTGATCATCATTATTTGGGGAGATCATAATACTAATAATAGTTAGTCAATTCAAAGGCTGAGATTTATCAAGGCACCCGCAGAGGGAAATTGATGTTTCCAAAAAGTGAAATTAAAAATAATTTAGAGGTGAAGATGATTTGCGGCTTCTGCTTTGGCCAACGAGCAAATTCTGGCAGAAAAACGCTTTTCGCATAGTAAGTATAAAAAATCTTCACTTTCAAATGTCGCTCAAGAGTCAAATGCTGGACTCAAAGCCTTTGCCAATGCAAGTGCGTCTACTAAAACAGTAGGTAGTAGGTAGTGCCGGCAAAAAATGCGATTGGAGACACGGGTCGTGAGGCTAAGATGCTGTCAGATCAGTATCGTCCGAAAAAACTATGCAGAGCAGTCCCAAATTGTTACACGAAAAGTATTTTTACTGTACAGCACCCCGTTCCCCCTTCCTCCTTCCCCGCTTCTCCCTTCCACCTGTCCGTCCCCTAAGCATCAGCACCCACAAACACCACGCCCCCCCCCTCCCCCCAGGCCGTCTTCCCCCAACCTTCCACCCAGGAGAACATGAAAGCTATAAATATCAGACCAACCAGTTAGTGTGGAGAAATTTCTCTGTTTGAATTCAAAAACAGAGTAGCGGTCTGTCCGAAGCAAGACATTAGATGTATGCGACATACACGTTTACGGACGGCCGATTCGAAGTATTTCCTGGAGGAAACTTCCGATTGGAATAAGGTTAGTTTCAACAACTTTGTTTTTTGTTTTATTTTAAGTTTTCACAAAGAGTTTTACGGAACTTGTCACCGTCACACAAATCTACCAGATAAGTACAAGAGTAACTTTAAGAAAAGAGGGAGTACTGACAGATGTGGATTTATTGGAGTTTAAAAAGAAAGAGAAACAAAAAAGCCCAAAAATAAACACAGACCACCCATAAGCCATCTGCCATCAACTGTTTCAGCAATAGCTCCAATGGCAATGTCAACAGTAGCAACAACAACAACATCATCAACAACAGCAGCTACAGTTTTTGATAGAGTGACAACAGTAACTGAAAGAACAGTTTTAAGAAAATGATCAGCAATCCATTGTTTCCCATCGTTTATATGTTGAAAAAAAAATCCTGTAATAATAAAGAGTCAACCAGATCCAAATAGGAAAGAATGTGGTTAAGCTTAACAACATGGCCATTTACATTTGTGCTCTTCACATGTTGCATACTTTCAGAATCAGTTGAACGAAAACACTGTACTGTAAAGACAATTTATACTATACTAACATTCCCATCCCACCCCTCTCGCTTTTTCCTCTTTTTGATGTCAAGGTGTCTTGGATCTAAAACCCTAGAGACTTATAGATATTCCCTCGTTGGAAAACATAGAGCAATTTCAGTAATGTTTAAAAGTGCACTACATGTACAGGGTACTTCAAATGCAAGAAAAAACAGTTGAATATAGTTATTTTAGTTTTAAAAGAACTCTTCTACCCCCGTCCCCACCAACCACACTTTAAAAATTAAGTTTTCTAAAAGTATTAAAATTGCATTAAAAGATATTATAGCATAAAAGTGATAAATGAACAACAAATGAATAAATAAATAAATGAATAAATGAATAAATACTATTTTTAAAGTGCGGGCAGCTTGCGATACTTATGTGTTGCCAGTTTCCACTCTTCTCTCTCACATAATGAATTGACCGACTTGCTTCATTTGGGAACCATGTGTATATGTAGAGTGGGGAGGAAGATCCAAGGCGTTGACGGGTTTGGGAGGGGGTCGGGTGCAAGATCAGAACTGTAACTATTTCAATGAATGTTTCAACATTGTGTCACACTGGCTAACAATGTAGCAACCACTCTCTAAACATTTGAAATTGTGTATGTTTAACGTCACCCTAACACTGTGAGGTTATTTAACACTTTCTGTACCCCTTAGAGTCATTTTGTTCCCCCGGGGTTGTATTTTTCACATTTTAGAATACTTCTAGTATGAAAATCTTTGAACTTTAAGTTTTTGTTGTTTTTTTAAAAATCATTCTCACAGACTGCTATGCAAAGCGTACGGTTCGGATAAACGAGTAAATTTCCTCTTTGGAAAGTGGTGGCACAGAGTTCCCCACGTCGTATGGATACGACAGTAAAAAAACGACGTACTGATAGGGTTTAGAGATGGGACTTTAGAAGTCGTAAAAGATCTAGGGGAAGACTACGTTGAACCTGGACAAGAGGCTCAGAAATTGATGTACAGAAAAGTGGAAAGATATGAAATAACATCAAGTGGATAGCCCTGGATAGGTAAAAGTGGAAAGTGTTTGTTTGTGGCCTATATCCTGATCCAGGGAGAGAAAGGTAATGATGATGATGACCTCAAAATTTAACTCAAAGTCCGTTTTCGAGAGGAATCAGTCATTTATGAAAATTCGCGTAAAGTGCCTTTCCCAAAAACACTTTGTCGGACTGAGCTCCGCTTCTAAAACTGATCTTGCTTTTATCTATGGTGCTTTAAGTCATTAAAGTCTTAAAACAGTGCTTGTAGATTTTTTTGGTGTAAAATCGTTATATCGTTATGCTTTCTCTCCCCTCCCTAGCCAAATACAAATCCCCTAACACGCCCACACCACCACAGAACAGTATGGTCAAAACAGTAGCAGTGATAGGCGCTGGATGCACGGGTCTCACAGCCATCAAAAGCTGCCTGGATGAGGGCCTACTTCCAGAGTGCTTCGAGTCATCAGCTGATATCGGCGGCCTCTGGAGATTTTCCGATGACGTCACAGAGGGGCGTGGCAGTGTGATGAAAACAACCGTCATCAACACCAGTAAAGAGATGATGGCGTTCAGTGACTTCCCCCCACCCAAGGAATACCCGAACTTCATGCACCACACCAAAGTGTTGGAGTACTTTCGCGTGTACGCTGAGCGGTGAGATAATAACTATTATAATAATATAATTATAATCATGTATGTAAATCATTTTTTTGGGAGCCTACCCACTGAGAACACAACTCTGTGAGTTTTACTTTGATGATCGTTGTACCGTTTTTTTCTGTATTTGTTTTTCTTTTTCATACTATTTCTGTTTTTGACTGCTGTTGCTTGATTTCATGAAATCCATAATGAATAAATGAATGAATGAATGAATGAATGAATATTAATGGTGACAATAATCACCTCACTCACAACCACAAAACGCGTTCTTTTGCTGTCTTTTATTCTTCCTTCTATCAATTATTGTTCCCAGTGAAATGTATTCTAACCTTTATCATTTCAACTTATGATTCCCGGGAAGTTAAAAATGTTTGAAGATTTTTTTATGTGTTCTAGGATCAGCTAGGGTAATAATAGCTGTAAAGCTGCACTGCGTAGATATGCACTCTTCTTTTTCTTCTTCTTCTTCTTCTTCTTCTTCTTCTTCTTCTTCTTCTTCTTCTTCTTGTTGTTACTTTTGTTATTATTGTTATTAGTGCTAATTATTGTCATTATTGTCGTTATTATCGTTAGTGTCGTTTTTGTCATTATTGTCAAGAACTGCGATTTAACAAAAAGCATTTTTTCTTATGTTCAGGTTCGATCTTGCTCCACACATCTCTTTCCACACTGAAGTTATCAAAGTATTCCGAGCTCAAGAAGCAGACTCGGGGTCTACCCGCAGCCCTGTGCAAACAACGAAACGCCTCAAGGATCCTAACACTATTTCCCTGAAGACACCGGGAAAGATACCCTCTAGCAGTATCGACATGACGTTGTCGGAACTGTCAAGAGTCGTAAAAGACGAAGGCCCCTTTCAACATTTAGGCGCTAGCTCCATATATGAAAAAAGTGGAGATTGTAACGGGCTTTTTATTCTCGGTGGAAAGGAACAGAAGAAGAAAAGTGAAGGCGATAATTATTCAACTCACACTGACGACCAAGGAGGCTTTTGCAGAAGCAACAACAGCAATGATAATGATAAAAACACGATCGTGGACAACATCAACAGTGCAGACAAGAATAATAATTTTACTCCTACCAAGCATGCTAACGATATTAGCAGCAACAGCTGCAGCTACAGCAACAACAGCAGCAGCAGCAGCAACAGCAGCACTACTAATAACAATAACGACAACAACAGAAACAGCAACAGCAACAGAAGCAGAAATAAGCATG